TATATAGGGTGGAGTACCCAAGGATCGGGCGGTTATCCTCAAAACTCGGTTATATAGGGTGGAGTACCCAAGGATCGGGCGGTTATCCTCAAAACTCGGTTATATAGGGTGGAGTACCCAAGGATCGGGCGGTTATCCTCAAAACTCAATTATAGGGTGGAGTACCCAAGGATCGGGCGTGTATCCTCAAAACTCATAGATTACATTTAATGATCTAGGACCGGGCGGTGTCCTTATGATAATTTATTTGAACAAGGAGGAGTTCTATACACTCATAGGTGTATGGGTGGGTTGGGATTTAAGTCAAGGATATTGGCTACTATTATTTTCCCAAATAAACAATGACCTACGGGTCGGGTATTTCCAAGTGTATGTATACTAATATGTATTTCAAACTTGGGGGAAGGACTATACGTATATGTATCATCCTACGTTTGGGTCTTATACTTGAAACGCTAGTTATTCTATATTTAGCCTGCTACTCGCTCGGTACTTGTACTGACCCCTTCGGGGGGCCCCACCATTTTCAGGTTGAAGCTAGGGCTTACTACCTGTACCTTTCTACGGGTGACATCAAATCAAGGAAGACGTGGTTCGTGCTTCCTCATTTTATTCCAAATTACCAAACATTGCTCATGGATATTTTTATTTGTTATAAACTATTCTTTTGGGGCTTGCATGCCCATGTTATTGGCCGGTTGTGGCTTATGACTTACCGTTGAATATTTCCGCTATTCATTGGTTTAAATGTGATGTTGTTATGTATGTTTACTACTGAGTATGGATGGATTATTTTTCTCGAACGCCTTGTGTAATCAAGTGAGGTTGACTCGCGGGTGACGTCACTTGATTACATGGCGGTTGTACACGCGCTTGGATTGCGGTCTGGGGCGTGACAATAGTGATGCAAGGCTGATAGCTAAAAACTTCGGGAGTTATGGGTGTACCGGCTATGTGTTTATGTTTGGTGGTGGGGCTGTTGCTCGGAAGTCCACTAAACAAACTGTGCTTTCATGTTCTACTTTTGAGGTTGAATTGTGTGCGTTGGATGTAATACGGAGGAGGAGGAGGAGGAGATCTCACGATCGCTGAAGATCTCACGATTGATGAAGATGAATTGGGGGAAAGGTGATTTAGGGATTGGGGGTAAAAATGTAATCTGGAGTCTTATTTAAGCAATTTAAAACTTCAAGTCATATTTTGGAGTTTTAACCATGTTTTAGTCCCATTTAGACATTTAGTATAATTACTTATTCTAGCTATTGTTTTGAGCATATGGAAAAGACGTAATGAAGTCGTCTGGAATGGAAAGGAGATCGGAGCAGGTGAAGTTCTTTTTATGGGGACAATCATGTTCTCTGCTTGGCAAAGGGAGAATGAAGTGGCTGGTTCCCAGCGTAGTCAACAGCAACGCCGGGGGGAGCAGTCGAGCAGATGGAAAAAGCCAGTACCGGGGTGTGTAAAGATTAACGTGGACGGAGCTGTTAATTTACCGGAGGGGATTGGTGCATGGGGATGGGTAGCACGAGATGACAATGGCCATTTTCTAAAAGCAGGAGGCGGGTCTAAAAGGGTGGATTGATCGGTGGAAGAAACAGAGGCTATGGGAATTAGGATCTTTTTACTTGTACTGTAATTTGCTGGTCTGGTCTGATCTGCCCTGGTCTGGTCTGGTCTGATCTGGTCTGGTTTCTTTGTATTTTTATAACTACGCAAGTCTGGTCTGGTCTGATCTGGTCTGGTCTGGGACAAATTACAGTCCAAATAAAAAGATCCTTAGAGATGCTATTATGGGAGCTATAGATGCAGGGTGGCAGCAGGTTGAACTTGAAACAGATTCGTTAAGAGTGGTAGAGAAAATTAAACGCACGGTGGGAGGAGTCTCTTATGTTGATGTGATTGTGGATGACATTAGAAGTATTATTGAAACAAAGAGTAACTGGAAGGTCTCTTTTTGTAGAAGGTTCTGCGAACACAGTGGCACATGCTTTGGCACGATCACGTGTAAATCTCTCAGATCATACTTTTAGTTTTCACATTATCCTTGATTGTATTTGTAATCATTTGACGAATGATCTTTTAATTATAAAGTTTTATGTTCGGTGATAAAAAAAGTAAGCTTAAGCATTCATATCTATGGTGATCATTTACTCCCTCCGTCCCGGAAAATTGTTCTCCCATTGACTTGGAACGGAGTTTAAGAAAGTGGGAATAAAGTGAAAATGTATGGTTGTGGTTGAGTAAGAAAAAGGTAAATGAATTGTAGCCACAAAAAAATTTCCAAAAGGAGAAAGTGGAACAATTTTTTGGGACGGCCCAAAAAGGAAACAGGGAACAATTTTCCAGGCCGGAGGGAGTATGTAAGATCTTTATTATATCAACTTGTGAGCACTATATGTTGATTGATCAAAAGATTCAAAAGGGTAGAACAATCCTTTATCACGTCCAAGCTTATGAAATAAGTGTCAAATGAGAACCTCTCAAATGGGAGTGATTTTTTCAATTTAGCAGGCTTATCGATTATATTTTTCACCAAACACGTAACTTTTGATTTTTCGCGCTGAAATGTGTAATAATTTAATAAGAAAAAATAAGATTGAAGTTAGTTTTCTGACTGTATTGGTTGAAGTTACTATAGAAGATCATTTTAACTATTTTTCATATAATGTTTTCTTTGTTTTATTAATAAAATATAATTCAAATATAACTTATACATAAATGAGCAGAATCAGTCAATCCAGCCACTTCAGTCAGAACTTCATAAGTTTCAACATAATCAGGCGATTTTAGAGCCCGTTTAACTATCTAATTTCAATTTGTATTGTTAGGTAATTGTTTCCAAAATCGATTACTTCGGATTAGTCCTGGACTCGGGCCGGGTGGCCCGACCTGGAACTGGCCCGAGACCGGTACTGTGGTGAACCGGCCTGGTGGTACGGCCAGTGACTTGTCTGGGTAGGCCCAGCCCGGGGGGTTTCCGGTGCGGGCTCAGGTCACCCAAAAGTCGATCCGGCCCAGCCGGTTTGGGCCCGGTTCCGAGCTTTTTAATTATTTTTTTTCGATTTTTTTTTTAACTTTTCGAGTTGGATTGAGTATTTTGGACTATTTGTGGTGGTTTGGGGGCTGGGCATGGGCATTGCGGGGTATTAATGAACCATGATAATTGTTACACTTTTTTTGGAAGAAAATAGACTTAATTAATATCAATCAGATCATTATTCAAAATACAATTAAGAAAAACAGGAGGAACATCAAACGAAGTATGCAAATCAGCTAAAGAACAGGCCACTCTTGCAAGTTCGTGGGCAGGGCCTTTGATAATGTGTCATCTACTTTGTAACACTTCAAATGCTCGTTCTACATCTTTTCTGATGGACTCTTGGCATTTTGAAAAAAGTTTTTCCTTCCACTAGTACAAAAAAGGCTTTTCACATCGGTCAAAAAAGGCTTTTCACATCGGTCAAACAACCAATGTGGTTCCAGCCCATGTAAAAAGTCTCTACTTTTCACATCGGTAATAGAACCGGTGTAGGCCTGGCCTCGGTTCGGGCCGCCCGGCCTGGAACCGGCCCGATCCGCCACTGTGCGGGCCCGGCCCGGAACCGGCCCGACCCACCACTGTGCGGGCCCAGCCCGGAACCGGCCCGACCCACCACTGTGCGGGCCCGGCCCGGAGGCCCGGGGGTGGGGCGGTTCTGGGCTCGGGTCCTATTTTGGGCAGCCCGGCCCAGCCAGTCCGGGCCCAATCTATTTTTTTTATTTTATTTCGGTTTCTTTGGGCTGTTGGGCTTGGGCTTGATGTTTAGAACCGGTTTGGAGGGTTTGGAGGGGTGGGGGGTGGGGGGGAAGACTATGTTGTAAAAACCGGACCGGAGAGTGACCCGGCCACATGACTGGGTCACGGGTCAACCCGGACCCGGTGGGTCAACCCGGTCAACGCCGGAAAACCGGTCAATGATTATACGTGTATATAATAATAGTAAACATATAATTATATATAAAATTATAATAAAAATTAGTTATTATTCATAATAATCAACTAACAATACTACTTATTAAGCATTTAATACACTCTCATAATATTTCAGTGTATATTTTGATCTTATAAAAATATATAATGATATTTTTATTTTTATTGTACATCTATATTATAATTTGGCATGATGTTCATTCTTAAATAAATATATAAATATATTACGTAGTTTTTCTTTTTAAGGTATTGAAATTGCAATTTTATTGGTATAAAAAATGCATTAAAAATAAAAAAGAAATTACTTTTTTTTGGTAAAAACACCCAAAAACTGGGTTTTACCGGGTTTTTCGGGTTTCTTGGGTCCGGGTCTTTACCGGGTTTTCCCAGGTCAGCCGAGTTTTTCCGGTTTTGTCCATTTCCGGGTTTTGAAAAAACCGAACCGATTTTTTGTCCGGGTCACCGGGTTCCGGGGCAATCCGGCCGGGTCGGGTCGGTTTTTTAAACATAGGGGGAAGAAAGGAAAAAAAATAGGCAAAAAAGGTGGTCCGGCCCGGAACCGGGGACCACCGATCCGGGCTCAGGCCTTGCAGTTGGTGAACCGGGGCCCGGCCGGTTCAAGGCCCGAACCGGGCCCGGCCCAGCCCGAGGCCAGCAATAAACCAGTGTGAAAAATCTTTCTACATCGGTTGTGCAATACCCGATCTAGAAGATTGTACAAAACGGCGTTTTAAATGGTATTCCACATCGATTATAACTTATAAGTTATAACCGATGTGGAATTATTTACATCGGGTAAAAAAAAAACTATGTAGAAAAGCTTCATTTTTTCCGGAACATAGGGTTTTTCACATCGGTTATAACCCATGTAGAAAAGCTTTCACATCGGTTGTTTTATCAACCCATGTAGAAATTTTCAAGAAAAATTGCAATATGACCCCATTTATACTATGAAACCACTGACATAAGAACTTCATTGATATGAAAACCATAAATAAATTAACGTGAATGCAGGAGAAGAGAAATGCCAAAACAGTAGTATACAAAATGCCATTAATATATACGTAGTATAATATACATCCAATACATGATTTCATTACAATGTGTATAACATTTCTTACCGGGAAGATTAAAACAAACTTATGTACTAATGAGATGGCTTAAAACACTTATGAGGCTGCATCAACCGGAGATAATTAGATGACTCTGTAAGCTCTTTGGCATTTAGAAGCAGCAACATCGCTTTGGCGCACTAGTACATTAAGTATATGTTATATTTGAGCTGTTCATCTTGTGCCTCTGTATGAATGCCTCACTTCTAGAAAAAACAATGCCCCACAAGTTCACGTTTGATCACTCTTTTCCCCCGAGACTGATTCTGAATAAGATAACCTTTACAAATTGAGAAAAAGTATTACATTACATTAAAAGGAGCCAATTGTGCTAAATGTATATAAAATAATACTATCGTACTTCGTAATATACTTTATCTCACATGTCATTAAAAGTCATGTTCTACACGGAAAGTATTAAGTTGGTTACTGAGTCGGAACCTATTTTCTCCTTAAAAATTCTTTCAAAATTTCCTTGCATCAATTGCCTTTACCTGCCATTTCACAGTTTCCATATGAACCATAACATAATTTTTGTAATGAAAGATCAAGCTTTATGTGCCAGATCATTAGGGAGGTAGGTGGGGAGTGAAAAACACGGGTACCTGAAATAATGCGACAATGGACAACAGCTCATTTACCAATGCACTTGTGCATTCAACCTGTTAGTTGGCAAAATGCATAAACATTTGAGCAGGTAATCCAAATCAAGACACATATCATCTAGGATTATGTGTTGCCTAATATACCAAAATAAAACGGCTAACATGACAACAAAACAAACAATCATGGAGAGAAGTTCACAAATAAAGTACATATTTATTTATTTTTACTTTTAGGAGGGAATAACCTTAGGTAGCAAAGCTTATTGAACACGCCATTGCTTGCATCATATCAATGGTTGAGTAGATGGTATCTTTTTTGTTTTGAATATCTGCCTGCTCATGCATGGAATATTTCAAAGAGAAGAAACATAAAGTGAATCAGCAAGGAAAAGAAGAAAAATAGAAGACGTAGAACGGGATCGAACCAGTGACCTCCGTATCACATCAGCTCTCCATCACCACTGCACAGCTACACTTTTTTAATATTTAGACGCGTTTTCTTATACATATACTCGTCGACTCCGTAAACTCCAGCAGATTAATGATGATCATCTTATCATTATATTGCTTTAATCCTTCTTCCTCCACACATAATTTCGGGTCATTCTCTCACTACTCATCCTAGAAACATTTCCTCCTCCTCTCTTCATTCTTCACCTCCAAATCATCATTCAATCTTCAACATCAATTAATCACCTTCTCATTCAAGATTAGCACCAAGCTCCAAGGATTGTCATCTATCACAAGTTTGATCTTCCTTATCTCATTAAATCTTGTATTTTAATCATGAATTCGTGTATTTCTAAACTTCCCAACATGTATAGCTATATAAATTTGGGGCTAGAAATTGGTTAATTAATTGTTCTTATCATGTTTTAATTTGTATTGATTTTAATTGTTAAGATTGTTCTTTTTAGACTGTTGTGTCCAGAAAATTAATTAAGTTGTGTTTGTGATATATATAATGAGTACTCAATCATAAACATATTGTTTATTAAATACACAAATGAACACTTTCTGAACACACCGTTAAACTTCTTTTACCTTGTCCCGGATTGAAGTTTTACGGGGGGAATTTAATTATTTAATTATATTATTTACACCACGGGGTTGGGTAAATAATATAATTAATAATTAAGGTTGTCATTGCACTTAAACAACTAGTCTCGTTTTGGCCATCACTGGGAAACGTTGACTAGTTACTTATTTTAGATGACTTGTGTTGGGTCCTAAAATATTTATCTACAACTTCTCACAATCTATCTAAGAATAAAATTAACAATTATGTCTTTCAATTAAACATTGAATAATTAGTTACCAATTTCTACCCCTACTTGCTATTTGTTGAACTTGGTGTTGACAAAAATCTCTCATACAATCACTTTAATTTTATTACTTTTGCAAGCAATCAAAAATCAAAAGAAACGCATTATCAACTTTAATCCTTAGTTCGTGATTAATTATTTTATTTCCCGCTTCTCTGTGGTTCGACACCCTACTTCCTTGGGTAAAAAATAGTTGTGTGCCCGTTATATGCTACACACCACCCGGTTGCCACTGGGTACAGGCCGGGCTAGTCCTGGACTCGGGCCGGTCGGCCCGACCCGGGACCGAACCGGCCTGGTTACTGTTGACCCGGCCCGAGGCCCGGCTCAGTGGAACCGGTTCGCCGGCCCGGCCCGACCCGGCTGCTGGGCGGTCCGGGCCCGAGCCCTCCAATATGTGAACCGGCCCGGCCGGTTCAAGCCCAGTCCGGGCCGGATTTAATTTTTTTTTAATATTTAGGTTGGAATAGGTGTTTTGGGCCATTTGAGGTAGTTTGGGGTTGAGGAAAGGGTAGGGGGTTAAGAAAAACAACCAAAAAAAAAAGTAACCGGGTGACCCGGCCCGGAACCGGCCACCGCCGGTTCGGGCCCGGGCCTCCTTTGCAGCGAACCGGGGCCCGGCCGGTTCTGGGCCCGAACCGGGTCCAGCACTAGGCCGGGCCATGCCTCGGGCTACTTAGTTTTTTTTTTTTTGGCTTTTCTACTTACCCCCCCCCCCCAACCCCCAAAACACCCAGCCCCAGCCCAGAATAAACAAAATAAATTTGGAAAAAAAAAAAACAGAACAGGCCTGACCCGGCCGATTCGTGTTTTGGGTGACTCAAGCCCGCACAGTAAACACCCCGAGCCGGACCTACCCAGACTGGTCCCTGGCCGGGCCACCAGTTTGGGCCAGGCCCAAACAGTGCTGGTCCGGTCCACCCGGCGCAAGTCCATGCATATATCCACATAGTAATTCAAATGTTTTTTAGCTTAATTAACATTTAACACAAATCAGTTACTGTAGATGATTAGGTTAAACTCGAGTAATCTGAGCAAAACTAAGTTTATGTGAAGTTTTACATACGAAGTAATCGATTTTGGCAAATCCATCGAGGCTAGATCAGCTTCTTGATATATTCTGAGCAAAACTAAGTTCAACAATATGCAAAAATTATGAAAAGGTACTCCACTAAATTCTGATATAATCTAAACAAAACTACGTTGAAAAATATGTGCTCTTCAATGTCCTGGCAAGGTTAGCCATCCCTATGGGGTAAGGCCTCTCATCAGCTACTGGACTAGTGCACAACTTTACCATCATAAGAAAACTGTCGGCGTCACTTGTGGAGAATCCACATCCTCTCAACTGGTCTGCCAATAATTCAACTCTTGTATCTAAAATACTAGGCAATTGCCATGTGTATGCCGCCCCAGTTAGAAGAGCCATTGTGATTAGCCCTAAGCTAACCACGTCAAACTTTCTGTCACGAGTTTCTGCAACAACAACAATAATCAAGTTGTAATCCCAAAAGAATTTAGAATCAACTAACATGAATCCACCAGTCACCACATATGAAATATGAGTTAAAACTGATAAAGTTAAAAATGATATGTAGTAATATTTTCTTTATTAAACTTATGAATTCAGCCAACAAAGTTGCCTCTTTTCACCACTCTAGCTCCCACTGGCAACGGGTAAAAGACTACTTCGTAGGCGACTTGGATCTTCTAACCTTTTACAGCTAATGGTTCCGATGGAGGTTTAAAAATTCTCTGCATTTTCTTTGCCGCGACGAATCAATTGGAACAATAACTTCTACCAAGGAAGCAATGCTGCAATGTTGATGTCAGAAGGCACAGGAATCACTCCAATTCAGTCAATCGTATTCAGGCAGTTTACGTTTTGCCTTCACATATCATTTGACTGAATTGGAGTGATTCTTGTGCCTTCTGACATCAACATTGCAGCATTGCTTCCTTGGTAGAAGTTATTGTTCCAATTGATTCGTCGCGGCAAAGAAAATGCAGAGAATTTTTAAACCTCCATCGGAACCATTAGCTATAAAAGGTTAGAAGATCCAAGTCGCCTACGAAGTAGTCTTTTACCCGTTGCCAGTGGGAGCTAGAGTGGTGGAAAGAGGCAACTTTGTTGGCTGAATTCATAAGTTTAATAAAGAAAATATTACTACGTATCATTTTTAACTTTATCAGTTTTAACTCATATTTCATATGTGGTGACTGGTGGATTCATGTTAGTTGATTCTAAATTCTTTTGGGATTACAACTTGATTATTGTTGTTGTTGCAGAAACTCGTGACAGAAAGTTTGACGTGGTTAGCTTAGGGCTAATCACAATGGCTCTTCTAACCGGGGCGGCATACACATGGCAATTGCCTAGTATTTTCGATACAAGAGTTGAATTATTGGCAGACCAGTTGAGAGGATGTGGATTCTCCACAAGTGACGCCGACAGTTTTCTTATGATGGTAAAGTTGTGCATTAGTCCAGTAGCTGATGAGAGGCCTTACCCCATAGGGATGGCTAACCTTGCCAGGACATTGAAGAGCACATATTTTTCAACGTAGTTTTGTTTAGATTATATCTGAATTTAGTGGAGTACCTTTTCATAATTTTTGCATATTGTTGAACTTAGTTTTGCTCAAAATATATCAAGAAGCTGATCTAGCCTCGATGGATTTGCCAAAATCGATTACTTCGTTTGTAAAACTTCACATAAACTTAGTTTTGCTCAGATTACTCGAGTTTAACCTAATCATCTACAGTAATTGATTTGTGTTAAATGTTAATTAAGCTAAAAAACATTTGAATTACTATGTGGATATATGCATGGACTTGCGCCGGGTGGCCCGACCCGGAACTGGACCGGACCAGCACTGTTTGGGCCTGGCCCAAACTCGTGGCCCGGCCAGGGACCAGTCTGGGTAGGTCCGGCTCGGGGGGTTTACTGTGCGGGCTTGAGTCACCCAAAACACGAATCGGCCGGGTCGGGCCTGTTCTATTTTTTTTTTCAAATTTATTTTGTTTATTCTGGGCTGGGGCTGGGTGTTTTGGGGGTTGGGGGGGGTTAAGTAGAAAAGCCAAAAAAAAAAAACTAAGTAGCCCGAGGCATGGCCCGGCCTAGTGCTGGACCCGGTTCGGGCCCAGAACCGGCCGGGCCCCGGTTCGCTGCAAAGGAGGCCCGGGCCCGAACCGGCCACCGCTGGTTCCGGGCCGGGTCACCCGGTTACTATTTTTTTTTTTTTTTTTGGTTCTTTTTCTTAACCCCCTACCCCTTTCCTCAACCCCAAACCACCCCAAACTACATCAAATGGCCCAAAACACCTATTCCAACCTAAATATTAAAAAAAAAATCAAAAAAAAAAAAAAAAAAAAAAAATCCGGCCCGGACTGGGCTTGAACCGGCCGGGCCGGTTCACATATTGGAGGGCTCGGGCCCGGACCGCCCAACAGCCGGGTCGGGCCGGGCCGGCGAACCGGTTCCTGAATGAATTGAAGGAGTGTTTTCTGCTAAAACCTATGTGTTGCTGTCCTTGTGCAGAAGACCGAGGTCATCCCTGATTTTTGCTGCACGGGGATAGTTTTCCTCTTCAATTGCAAGTTGTAATTCCTGCTTGCAATCATCTTGGGATAGTTTGCCTTCACAATCAATTGGCCCATTTGTCAATTATTTTGGGATATATTCCAAGATAATTGGAGCAGGAATTACAGCTTGCAATTGAAGAGGAAAACTATCCCCGTGCAGCGAAAATCAGGGATGACCTCGGTCTTCTGCACAAGGACAGCAACACATAGGTTTTAGCAGAAAACACTCCTTTCTTCAATTCATTCAGGAGCGTTGACTTGGCAGCCATGTAAGCTCTCTGGCCAAAGGGTGAAAATGTTTCGGTGCACCCTGGGGTGAGCGGAATATGTGGGTATGATCTTGTGATGGGAAGCTGAGAGTTTGTGTGTGCTGACTATGATTTCCCCTTGGAGATTGAGATCAAGGACAACAAGGTTCACGTTAAAGGTGGCCTTGGCTATGTCACTTGCATTGAGATGGTGAAGGCTAAGGGCGGCAGCAGCAGGGGTAAACAGTTTGCCACTGATGTGTTGAGAAGATTGATGGTCACTGGTATATATGCATTCACCAGGCTACATATATTGACTCTTAAAAGTATAACTTCATTAAAGTGTTCGTAGACGGTAGGTTGTGGAATTGCGAATTTTGTTCTCTAATATACTATATATTATACTTGGTAATGAGTACTTATTATTATACGTAGCAGCTGCATATTTTTTTAACATCTGTATATACTCTATTATACTTGTGAAAAAAATCTTATCATAAAAAAGATTTCAATGCATTTACCATTTCGTCCTGTAACTACGACACTCCGAAGATCCGATATGTAAGAAAGAGTGCCAAAGTCAGCTCTCACCGCCCTGTCATCCTATTCAACACAAACAAAACATAAAAAAAATCAATCAATATATAATTTATAATTTAATGTTATTCATGCATTAATTTTCAAATATGATTTGGAAAAATATTAATCAATGTTATTCATGCATTAATTGAAATACTCCGTAATAACTTACATGCATAAGGATATTCTTCATCTTTAAATCTCCATGCACCATATATAAAAGGCCCGACATGCTCATCACATGTAGGCCATATGCCACATCGTAGATGATTGACAATATACGACATATGCTATGTGGCATGGTGCGACTGATATCTACCATATTAAATATTAAAACATGTTAGACAAATATATAACATATTAAAATAAACATAGATTCAGTTTTAGAATAAATACGAACGACACTAATTATTACCATGTGCATGGGATTCTAAAGTTTGGCCGTTTGCGAAAGGAAGCACAATGCATTTAAAGTACTCGTTCGTTCCTATTGCAAGTTTCATGTTCAGCCTTTCATGGTACATACCATCAGTAGTTGAAGTCTCAGGCTATATTAGCACACAGATATATCAGTAAGCATAATTTGTTGTTCCCATACAAACTTAAATTTTGTTGATAAAATAAAAACTAAAAACCTTACCCAATAAGAACTAGCCACAAAATCAGAAAAACTCTTTTGAAACACCTTAATTGCATATCTACCCGGATGTAGATTCAATGCATTCTGCATTGGGATGTTAACATCATAGACCTTGCCAAAGGAACCTTCACCTATAAGCATCGCTACACAAGCAAAACCCAAAACAACAGTGATAATGATTTACTTCCAAATAAAAAATAATAATAAAAACAGCCAACACAAGATGAATTAGTTACCGTTTTGAGTGTCGAGTCTGTACACTCGAAGAAAATCATCGAATGATTTTACTTCTTGGCCCGAAATGTTGAAATCGAGATCAATGACTACAAGTAATTTATAAATATCATACCGTAATGAAATGAGTTTGAACTGTAGTAATTCTTATATTACATAATTAAACGACAGAATTATGGATAACAACCATAATAGTAACAGTGGAAAATTGTACTTTCCATCCCTCATTATTTTAATGAAGTTTATGTCTTTCGACTTTGTAAATGTCATCTCATAAATGTGTTACATAATGTGACTTCAGTCCTCAGCGCTAATACTATAACAAACTTTGTTGCTACATCATTAACAGCATGTACATCATTAATGTGACCTCAGTCCTCACCAAATAACACATGCTGAGGTTGATTTTCACTTTACACGAGATGAGGTGTAAAACTTTGATACTTCTACTCATCACTAGTCCTCTTCTGACCAATTAGTTAATTAGTACTGTGTTGCCTTTTGATTAGTCATTCATGCAACATTACCAATGGGTCCTTTGTTAACTTCGCTTGGTTTGTATTCCGATGTAAAAGCCGCACATTGTGTTTTCACTATGGTCTTGAGGAGGTGTTGGATTGAGAAGATTACGATACCATTTGTCAAACTATGAACTCTTTCATGTTTTGAACTCCATTAAACATATCAAAAAAAGAAATAAAAACTAACTCTTTCATGTCAAACTATCAAAGTTGAGTTGGTAAAAAAGAAAGTCAGATTGATGTAACTAAATCTCAAACATAAGAACTAACAAAATAAGGTTTAAAGTTGAAATAAAAACCTTGCGGCGAGCTAGAAAATGACAAAAATCTGTCAATGGTTGAGAATAATGCCAAATTATTGTGAAAGACATGCACTCATTGAAGAACCCTCCTGTCAAGCAAGTTAGTAGAACATGTTACTGCCATTAATTTTAGTTCTAAGTCCAATACATAAAAACGTTCTATGAGATTCTAACATATCTAAATCACAAGCAGACATGTTAACCAATAAAAGAAATGAATTTCACTAGTTTCAATTATAACGGTTCGTTGTTGATATGAAGAAAAAATAACAGATACTACTAAAACAACAACAACCCAGCCTTAATCCCAAAAGAGTTTGAGGATGGCTAATGATTGAAGAGGCTACACTTCTATGTATTGAAATGGAGTTCAGAAAAGCATGCCAAAACAAATATAGTGATTTCTAAATTTACAATAGTGGAAAAGATGTCAGTAGAGCTGGAGTTCCCGAAAAGTAATCAGCTCACTTCAAATAGATTCCGCTCATTAATAATTCCAAGACAACAGTTCCAACTAAAATGCATTAAATAATACAACAAATTAATTGTATTTGAATGTTGGTGTTCCCGTGGAAACACCTTTATAGGCACTCCTACAAAATAGGGACCATTACAATGCTGATTCAACACTAAACCGGCGATGATACCTCATACCCAAACAAAAGTATTCATTCATATATTCTACACTTCTCAATTCAAATATGAATCTCCAAAAATTTGTTATATTTTCAGAGGATAAGAATGAACAGCCCAACACCTGAAAAATGAAGACCACTCATTCAAAAGGAATCAGAAAATACCCACTGTTATTATCCTGTTACCCATGCTATTTTTTTATTTATTTATGATTTGTAAATGCTGCAAACAACTTGCCCTCAAGACATCCTAGCATAACAAAAGTTGTGTAGACAAGAATGCTCATACAGAGTACGAAATATTTTGAAGTTTGTGGGAAACGAAAATTGGATTTTCTTCAGTGTTTGTGCGAGTTGTTGAGAGTACTAAGAGCTCAGAGCTAATATGAAAGAGATTAACAACTAAGCATCACAAAAGTAAGGTTTGGCCTCCTCATGTTTATTGCAATTCCCATGACCAAGATATATATCTAAACATATTACCATTTATAGATCCTTTTCTTCTAAAATGACCATTCCAAATTGACAGTTGTATATTTCAATTTGGCATTCCACATAGGTATTACAATTTTTTATTGGGAACACATTACATATTTATAAGATGTACTTACATGTTGTTGGAGAATAATTATACCCATCGCGATGAAATATGCGTCAACAGAAGATGGTAAGTTTCCATTCCTGAATGAAGTTTCATGAAAAACTATCATTATAAATTGATAATACAAAAAATGAACTCAATAAGTTTAACAAGGCTCACTCATCGTGGAAAAAAGAACCACCGGGTTCTAAAATGTCTGATAAATCGTGAAGCCATTCAAGGCATGTCTCCTCCTGTAGAATTAAATCAATACTTAATTACTATTATCAAGTATAGTATAAAAAACGGGAAACAACAAATTAATTTTAATTTTTACCTCATCCATGTGCATTGTCATAGCCTCGAATAAATTCTCCAATCTCTCAAGAATATTCATTCTTTTGTTCTCAAAAGACGGGATAACTTGTGCACGATATTCATCTATGTTCGCCACACTTAGCCAACTCAAGTCAAGTGTTTCATTTGTTTTCACATAAGTGTTTACGTTTGTCTCTAACGAGACAACTGTGAATAGCAAATAGATTCAAATAGACATTGTTATACTCATACACGCATATATAGAGGTTTTAAATGAGAATCACTTTTCAAATGAGAACAAATTTATGAATGAGTACGCATTAGGATTCAGCCGCAAAAGAGCAATCAAGGGACATGAACCAAGTGATATTTTTCTTTTGAACCTGTTCCTAACTTTGGCTTTAGTCCCCAAAGGGTGAACCTAAGATCTCTCCTTTCTTCTCACTTGTGCAGGAGCAATTCCACCAATTCCGAGATAATTTTTAGATTCCTTGGGAAATGAGTGGGATTCCAACACACACTTAACAAAACAAACCAGTCCAATGGATTCTCTCTTTTGTTGTCAATCCTGGTGTCTACAAATTCAAATATATATTTTGGATTCTAATCATCTCCCTTTTAGATCCTCATTGCAAGCAAACAAGTCCTATCATCCCTAAACCCTTCTAGTACTCTTTAAGTGCAGTAAAACGAAACATATTATCCTAGTTTTCTTCTTCTGAGAGTTAATTAAATTGCCAAGAAGAAATGCAGTTACCTAGAAACCTAGTTAGCAGATTCACAGATGTTTTTCTGTGTTAGATTAGTGAGATGTATTCTCATCTTCTTTTGAATGAATCACATTTATGTACTACGAAGCAGAAGTATTCATTCACCCCATTTGAATTATAAACGAGAGGGCTGTAGGGTTGTCTGAGTGTCTCTACTATGTTCTTTCTTCTATTATTTCAGAATTAACTGTGTTGGGGTACAGTTAAACCAAATTGATGATAAGCGGGTCAGTGTCCAAATTATTATAAAAAGTTGTATTGTTTGTTTATTGGGAGATTATACAAATATGATAAAAACATTGTCATTTTTCAAAAATAAGATCTAACGTTTAAAAGTCCATAAATAGGGCTTATTATTTGTAATTGGACAAAAATACTCTTATGATGAAGAATAGCATCTTTGATTTTCTTGATATTTTATAAAATAATTAGACAAACATAAACAAAAAATAATAATTACAACGAGTAACGCATCTCAGAGTGGTCATAATCGTGACATACTCACCACACAGATCTTGCTCCTGTGGAGCCACATTAATCTGAATAGGTTTAGCAATCCCCGACACTAATCAAACATAAAAATTAGGGAAAACTGTCAAATAGGTCCTCGAACTTTCAGAAAAAAGTCAATTAAGTCCTTCTATAGGAGACTCTGTCCGGCCGTCGCGATTTGGGGCGGTTCTCGGTGGAATTTTTTGATGAATTTTTTTGAGCATCTTATTCATCAAGTCTAGTTTATTCATACCAAATTTCAGCTAAAAATTCAACTGGGAAAGCTTTCAAATTAATTCGAGAACGCAAAAATGCGCAGTTATCTTCAAGAATTAATTTGAATGTGTTCCCGATTGAATTTTTAGCTGAAATTTGGTATGAGTAAACTAGACTTGATGAATAAGATGCTAAAAAAAATTCATCAAAAAAATCTATCGGGAACCGCCCCAAATTGAGACGGCCGGACAGAACATCCTATAGAAGGACTTAATTGACTTTTTTATGAAAGTTCGAGGACCTATTTGACAGTTTTCCCTAAAAATTATGTTAGTTAATAATAAAAATAAAGTAACAACTTCACCAAACTACATTTAGGGGCTAGCATAATCCAGTCCGGACCCATAATAGACAGTTAGGATTATTCAAAGTGTATAGCCAATAGTTGAGATCATTAAAAGCGTACCGGCATTAGTTGGGATTATCACTTTTTAGTTTTTGACTTTTTCCTAACATAAATTTCCATTGTTTTCAATATGGAGCAAAAATGTCTTCTAAAAAATAAATAAATAAGGAGCCAAAATGGCCAACCAGTCTTTCTGAGTTGAGATTATTACTAGGCATACTTCCTACTCTTAAGTTAAGAATAAGAATTATGCTCAACAAATGGGTTTAAAGCATTTCCATGCTCAGCCCAAACAACTATGGATATAACCCAACAAAGAGGCTTGCCATGTGGTTGTAAACAACTATGGATCACGAAAAATTATTTGATAAAGTTTTTGCAAGAATCGGAGCACAAATGAAAATGTTATACCATTTAAAAAACAATAATTGCTTGCCATGTGGTTTTAAACTATTGGATGAAGAATCAATTTTGCAATTGATTAAATTTAATGGGGGGTGCATTCCTCAAACTGCCTAGGTATGTGATTAACAAAAAATTGTAATCTTATTATCTTAACATACAACTCTAATTAACATGCAATCACAACTAATGTATGTTAACAAGTGAGGATATTTTCAACATTATATTCCAACAATAGAATATTGACTTACTCCGACAATATAGTTGAATGTAAACCCATGTTGCCAGCCCGTGTAGCTCATAAGTGGGGATATGTCACACTCCTCTATAACCTCTGACTTTTAGCGTACAATGATGGTGGTTAAACTCCATTGTTTGTGACTTTTAGCGTACTCTGGAATGTTCATATTTAGAAAGTTTTACATAGAGTGAGAATGAAATCAAAGCAGTTAAAGTACTTATTACGAACATCCTCAACTTTACTACCAATGTAAACCGTAATTATACCTTAGATAAATATGTGTAGATGTACCTAACTTATATAAATACTACCAATGTATTATAATGCATATAAAGCAAGAAACACTAACATACTGTTTTACTTATTGAACAAAACAATGTTTATGTAATGGAGAAAACTATCGGTACAACTACCTCCCTGCGGCTGAACTTCGCTCGTCCCAAAACTTAGAGGCTGAAAACGAAGAGAAGAGAGACACGAAGCAATTCCGATATAAAACAACAGCACCCACCTTCCGTTCCAGTCCAAACGTATCGGCTGAAAACGAAGAGAAGGGAAAAATGAGAACTACCCTAGTAGGCGGCTGAATCGCCGAACCCTATAGAGCATACACAAAATTCGCCTCTTAGTATTAGTATGGTTATGATACCATAAAACTGATGTGCCATATTATGTCGTGTAACAAAAAATCACACACACATTGAGAACAATTTATTCCATACTGTTCGTGTCTTTGGTTATGAATGGAGCATTAAAGATTGTATATTATCCTTTCTGAGTTGTGGTTATTATGGCTGTTCAATTCCCTCATTTTAGTTTGTTAGGGGGTGATTTCCGCTTTTAGTGCTTAATAATTATGGTTAGGCCATGAACAAACCCTAAATCGATCTAGGAGGTACTCCGGCAAAAAGTTTAGATCAGGTGACTGTTTATTCTACTTTTGTGAATTTCTTACTCCCTTCGTCCCAAATTGTTTTGCAAAGTCAACATTTTTAGGTCAACCGATAATAAAAGTCAATGCTCTGTATCGATAATTAATTTAATTTTTAATTATTAAAAATTATATTTCGTATATTCATAAGCTACATTAAAATCTCTTCAAAGTTGTAAACTCTAAATTAAAATATAATTAAAAATTGACATCCTAATTAAGCGAATAAAATGAAACTGATTGATCAAGAAAAGTCAAATTTGCAAAGCATTTTGGGACGGATGTAGTATGTTTTAGGATATTTTCTTTTGGACTGAAATTTGCTGGTCTGATCTAGTCTGGTCTGATAAACATCTTATCTCTGTGTATTTTATAATTACAGAAGTCTAATCTGGTCTGGGCTAGTCTAGTTTGATACAGTTTGGTCTAGGACTGAAAACAGTCCAAAAGAAAATATCCTTAGTATTCATTCATTTCAATTTCTACTAACTTACATGTTTTCTTATCGACTGTTTTAAGTCTCAAACTAGACCAGATCCGACCAAATCAGACCAGAGATCTATAATTATAAAATACACAAAGCCATACGTTTACCAAACCAGTTCAGACCAGACCAGACCAGCTTCTAAATGATTGGCATTTAGAAGCAGCAACATCGCTTTGGCGCACGTACTAGTACATTGAGTATATGTTATATTTGAGCTGTTCATCTTGTGCCTCTGTATGAATGCCTCACTTCTAGAAAAAACAATGCCCCATATGCCCCACAAGTTCACGTTTGATCACTCTTTTCCCCCGAGACTGATTCTGGATAAGATAACCTTTACAAATTGAGAAAAAGTATTACATTACATTAAAAGGAGCCAATTGTGCTAAATGTATATAAAATAATACTATCGTACTTCGTAATATACTTTATCTCACATGTCATTAAAAGTCATGTTCTACACGGAAAGTATTAAGTTGGTTACTGAGTCGGAACCTATTTTCTCCTTAAAAATTCTTTCAAAATTTCCTTGCATCAATTGCCTTTACCTGCCATTTCACAGTTTCCATATGAACCATAACATAATTTTTGTAATGAAAGATCAAGCTTTATGTGCCAGATCATTAGGGAGGTAGGTGGGGAGTGAAAAACACGGGTACCTGAAATAATGCGACAATGGACAACAGCTCATTTACCAATGCACTTGTGCATTCAACCTGTTAGTTGGCAAAATGCATAAACATTTGAGCAGGTAATCCAAATCAAGACACATATCATCTAGGATTATGTGTTGCCTAATATACCAAAATAAAACGGCTAACATGACAACAAAACAAACAATCATGGAGAGAAGTTCACAAAGTACATATTTAATTTTTTTTACTTTTAGGAGGGAATGACCTTAGGTAGCAAAGCTTATTGAACACGCCATTGCTTGCATCATATCAATGGTTGAGTAGATGGCATCTTTTATGTTTTGAATATCTGCCTGCTCATGGAATATTTCAAAGAGAAAAGAAACATAAAGTGAATAATGGAATAAAATTTCTTAACATATAGGTTGTCAACAACATATGATAAAGTGAAGTAAACTGAAAGTGAAATAAAGTAAAAAGTGAAAAGTTAAGTAAACTTCACTTTCAAAAGAGCTATATATAACACACATGAACTTAAAACTAAATTTAATGGATTGTCTAGTCTCTTTAATCTGCTTAATGTTAAAGTAAAGAGTTCGAATAGAAAACTGCCAAATCAACTCCAAATTGCACCTCAAAATTATAAATACGGGTACCATATATCATTTAGTTGGATTATATACATCCTTGGTCTTTGGAACACCTGGTACAACCTACAGAAAATCATTTATAATGTAATTCAAAGAAGAAAAATTTGACACTTTTCTCTATTTGAAATGGATAAATAAGTTCTAAGTCAACACCAACCCTTCAGTCCCAAGTTGAGTACTCAAACCTCAGGCCTATATACCATTTCAATCTAATCCTTGCAAAAGTTGGAGCATACTTCATCAAAAGATTCAAAGATGTATATATACATAGTTGGGGAATTTCCACTGTTAAACTCCCAGTGTTTGAGTGTTAGAGAGTACTATAGCTCTCATAATCCTTATCTAGTTAAAATTTTAACAACATTTCAATCTGAAAACAGCAGAGTAAACAGCACTTCAGTACAACTTCAAACTATCACCTAAAGGGATTTTTCCTAATGGGGGCAGACAGCATATTCATTTCTAAAGGTGATAACGCATCGGCTCTCAGTCGACCCGGCCTCCTCCCCCATCAAGCAAAAGAAGCGCTACCTCTCAACCGACAGGAGGGAATTTGTAAAGACCGAAGTGGCCATGCTGCTCTCCATCAAGCACATCAGGGAGGTGAAGTACCCCACGTGGCTGGCGAACGTCGTCCTCGCCCCAAAACCGCCTACGTTCAGGATGTGCGTTGACTACACCGACCTGAACAAGGCATGCCCAATGGACCCATTCCCTCTCCCCAACATTGATCAGTTGGTGGACGAGATGGCGGGGTGCGAGTTGATGTTGTTCCTCGACGCGTTCAGAGGGTACCACCAGATATCAATGCATGAAGATGACGCGGAGAAAACTGCTTTCATGACCCTGGAGGGAATCTTTTGCTACCTCGTCATGGCCTTTGGGCTCAAGAATTCCGGCGCCACTTATACAAGAATGGTAGCCCGGATTTTTAGAGCAGTCTTAGGCCGGACGATGGAGGCATACGTCGATGATATGATCGTTAAGAGCAAACAATCCACAACTCATGCCGACGACCTCCTGTAACACTTGAGATTTAATATAAACGGATTAATAGTACTACTCATACCAATAGAGGTGCATCTCCTTTTAACGGAGCTCATTACCCAAGAACTCCAAAGTTAAGCGTGCTTGCACGAGAGTAGTCTTGGGATGGGTGATCCCCTGGGAAGTTTCTCAGGGCGCGCACGAGTGAGGACAAAGTGCGCGTAAAAGGTTAGTGGCGGTTTGTGAGGACAGTACTATTGGTCCGGAGTAACTACCTCGGGTCCCATGGGGCCGGGGTGTTACAGTTGGTATCAGAGCCTATGGTTCTTTGGGGAATTTTTCTAAACAATTTTTCTAAGGTTTTCTAAAGAGGTTTTCACACGTTTTTGAAATTTCCTTTAATGTTTTTTCAAAATGCTTTTCCAAATTATATTTGAAAAAAAAAACAATCTAGGACTAAAATAAAATTTTAGGCGCGTGGTGAGGTTGTGAGACTTTGATTTTGATTTCCGTTGATTTTGCGGCTATTTTAATTTTCTTGGGATATGTTTAAGTGTGACATATCCATTTATGTTTATTTGAGGATAAGTTTGGAAGAACTTTAGACAATATTTGATTAGTGAGTTATTGGTTAGAGTGGTAAAATTGTGAATACCAGCTGTTTGGTAGATTTCTTATTTGTATCCTAAACGCTATCCTTTTCAAGGAGACAATGACGTCAACGAGGAACAACATCGAGAGCAATGATGACGCACCAACGAACTCGGAGTTAGCTCAAAATATGGTCCAACTAACACAACTCATCCAGACTGTCACGAATGTGTTACTACAGAATCAAAACCAACAACATCTCAACACCCGTAATGATGTAGCGAAACTTATAGCGAAGCGCAATCCCCCGAGCTATTTAGGTGAAGAAGATCCTCGCATCCTTGAGAATTGGATTCGCACTTTCGACAAGCTATTCGACGCCATAAACTGCCTCGCGGATCAACAGGTTGATATAGCTGCATACTACTTACGTCAAGAGGCGGATAATTGGTGGGCCATGACTGGCCCAACATTGTGTCAACAACCTGACTTTTCTTGGGAGACATTTAAGAAGGTAATGCGAGAAAGATTCTATCTAGAACACGTGAGAGCTGAGAAGTACGAAGAATTCTTACATCTGAAGCAAGTGGGTATGACCGTTCAAGAGTATCACGCCAAATTCTTGGAGCTCGCACGATTTGCACCCGCGCTAGTTCCCGATGAAATTGACAAAACTAACAAGTTTATACGCGGTCTGAACTTCGAGACACAAAAAGCTCTTTGCGTTACAGAATGCCAAACTCTCTGAATGAGGCCTACGGCAAAGCTGCCAAGCATTACCGAGTGAAACAGCACCAGAAAGAAGCACTTAAGAAAGCGAGAAAGGGCACCGAAGAAGAAAGCAAACGAGGAGACAAACGACAGAGGCCAAATCATCTCAAGGAGACCCGAAACAGGAACAAGATCAACAATCAAGGTCACGATCAAAAGCATAAGAAGAACTATTCCGGTAATACCGCACACTTCTATTGCATGAAATGTGGCAAGGATCACCCTGGGAAATACTGTGACGGAACAATCGCGCGATGTTTTCACTGTGGCAAGCTAGGTCATCGGGTATTCGAGTGTCGTTCTAGAAAGAAGGGAATTCCTCCAAGTCGTGAAGTCAATCATCACTCAAAGAATGCCAACCACAACGGAGGAACATGAGAATTATAAGCAGAATTATATAATCAAAATTTTAGTTATCCGTACTAGTAAATCTCTTTGAGAATAATGTATCGTTCGGTCTTGAATGAATAATTATTTTCTTTTAGTAAGTTGCATGCTTCGGGGACGAAGCATCCTTTTAAGGGGGGTAGAATGTGACACTCCCAAAATTTAAGTAAAATAAAATAGTCAATTTACTAATTAAATAAAAATTTTACAAAAAAGTTAATTAAAAAGGGTGTTGGTGAAAATTATGTTAAAACAAACAATTTAAACTTAATCCAAGTGATGTGAATTTCATACTACGTATATACATTACATGAACGTACATGTATTTCTTATACACTACATGCCCATTCATTGACTTTTCTATTACTCTCCAATAACACTCCGTATGTATATCTTGGCATATACACATAAA